GTAGATGGCATATCTGTTATTACATCTGTTCTAGATGATATGTCAACATCCGTTACATTTGCTGTTGTAGATATGTCCGTCTTTAATTCTTTCGAAGATGGTATATTTGTTGTTATACTTGTGGTAGATGGTATCGTAGATGGTATATCTGTGGTCGATGCCATATCTGTTGTTACATCTGAGGTAGATTGTTTATGTGATTTTACATCTGGTGTAGATGGTATATCTGTTATTACATCTATCGTAGATGGGGCGTTTGTTACATCTGTAGTAGGAGGTGTTTCATCTGTTACACCTGTAGTAGGAGGTGTTTCATCTGTTACACCTGTAGTAGGGGCTATGTCCGTCATTAAATCTGTCGTAGTTTGAACATTTGTAGTAGTAGGTATGTCAGTTATTACACCTGTGGTAGTAGGTATGTTCGTTGATACACCTGTAGCAGACGTTATGTGTGTTATTACATCTGTGATTGTTGGAACATCTGTTGTATCGCGTAAGTTGGTTCTTATATATTTAGTAGTAGATATGTTGGTTGTTAAATCTGTAGTACGGGATATGTGTGCTACTACTTCTGTCGTAGTTGGAACATCTGTAGTAGTAAGTATTTTCTTTGATACCCCTGTAGTAGGTGGTATGTGTCTTACTACATCTGTCGTAGATGGAACATCTGTAGTAGTATGTATGTAGGTCGCTAAACCTGTAGTAGGGGGTATGTCCGTTTTTACATCTGTTGTGGGCGATTTTTCTGTTATTACATCTGACCTAAATGGTATATCTGAAATTAAATCTGCCATAGATGACATGTCTGTTATGACATCTATCGTAGATTGAACGTCTACCATATCTGTAGTTGGGGGTATATTAGCTGTTACACCTGAAGTAGAGGGTATATCTATTATTACACCTGAAGTAGACGGTATATCTGTTATAAAACCTGTGGTAGATGGAATATCTGACATTACACCTGTTGTAGATGGTATATCTGTTATTACACCTCTAGTAGCGGGTATATCTTTTATTACACCCGTGGTAGATGGTTTGGGTGTTGTTACGTCTGTCGTAATTGAAACATCTGTAGTAATAGGTATGTAGGTTGGTGATACATTTATGGTAGGTATATGTATCGTAGGTGCAATTGCTGCTCTTGTTGAGTTTGTAGGTGGCAATATTGTTGTTACATCTGTGACGGATGTAGGCGTATACTTAGTTGTTACATTTATCGTGGATGATTCTGTTCCACTACTTGCTGAAAAACATGTTATTATATAACCTGTAAGAATTGGAAACATACTGCTATCCATTTTGGTTTTTATTACCTAAGCAAATATATTTCATATTCTAATGAAATGTATTATTTGTTAATCTAATAAATGATCAACTATGTAAAACTGGGTAGGTATGCTGAACAAGTTTCCTGTAACTGAGTTCTCTTAACCAATAACAAAAACAACAATAACAACTTAATTAAGAAGAGTGATCTTTGAGTTTTAATAACATGGCACAGTCTACTTATCAAAACACTGGAGTAAATATACCAGCTACATTGATCAGTAATTAAATGCTTGTTAAGCAGAAATCACTGGATGACTGTTAGTTGACTGATGTTTTGCTAAATATCCAACTCTAGTTCGACTAAGTAAATCATAATTTAATGGTAAACATTCATTAGAAAATATCTTTCATAGGATTTATATTGCCCTAGAAAACACTTACCCCCCCCCCCCCCCATTAAATTGAGTATATATAAAACGTTGTTTTATGTTGATTTTGTGCATGAAATGGTGACATAAGAATGTAGAAACAAGAATCATTAATTTAAAATATTGCTTTCGTATATAATATATTCAAACAGGAAACACAAATCATTAATATTGTCCCATTTCGGTATTTGGTCTTCTATACAGACGAGGGCTGGCTGAAAAGTTTTAAGACTATCTGTGAAAGATCTGTACAAAGTCGATGGTTTCCAGTTATTTTTCTTCGAGGTGTACACACTTTTGCCAACGATGTTGCAAGGCCTCTGGTGCCGGTCAGGAGGAATTTTTTCTTCAGTCACCCTACAAAAAAGTCATCATTACTATGAAAATGACGACCGGCTAGTTCCTTTTTCATCCATCATTACAAATCTGGAAAAAAACATTATCAAGGATCTGCTTCAAAACGGCACAGCCTGTAACGGGACATCAGGAATCTGACACGTTTCTGATCCACAGTCAAGAGCATGTGCACCCATCTTGCAGAAACGTTTGTCATTCGTTGGCGAGGTACCCACAGCACTGGCAATATGTGGAGTGGTTAATCGTCGATCTGCCATCACCATGTCATGCACCTGGTTGATGTTGATGGCCTTCCAGGACGCGGGTCACCGTCAAGACTCTCTCTGCCATAGATAAATACCGCAACCAACTTCGTTACTGTGGGAAAGGAAAGGACATTATCTCCTAAAGTGGAGACCGGTGTATATCTGTGTTGGTGCTACTCCTTTTAGTACTTGATGACTGCCCTATAGCCAGTTTTGTCCATTTCTGGTGATTTCAATGGGTTGGTTCACAAGATGGTCTGGTACGACGACAATAATAACAATACAGTTGCAGTTCTTATGTCTATGATCCATTCACTGACTGTACGTTTTGGCGGTAAAAGTTTGTTTCAACTCAATTGATCTTTCTGCATTAGAACTTTTCAGAACGTGGCCATTTTAGAACGTGGCCCTAAACAATAAAATTACTATTTTTCATAAATAACCGTATTTGATGAATAAAGTTCCCTTAAGGGCAATCGCCTCTGGTATTATTAATATATTCCGAATGGCCAAAATTTTGAAAAAAATGCATATTCTGTATGTTACCATGTAAAGTATAACAGTCAGTGTCTGACCTGAATTCATTCATCAGCTGGGAGTTCTCATTCAACAGAAAATCACGGCTAGAACGTCAGTATTATATAATACACTTATATAATACAAATGGCATTTATATATGTTCATTGTATTGAGTCATTACCTACAAACTGTTAACAGCTAGATTTGGGTTAATGTTGAGAGAGAGAGAGAGAGAGAGAGAGGGAGGGGGTAGCGTAGGGACCTTTAGCAGTGGGGGGAAATCGGAGGACACGGGGAAAAGCCATGAGGTTGGACGGGCGACATTCTTTATAAAAGTAATAAGCATTTAATCGCTGCATCTAACATAATTCAAACAAATGAAAAGATAGCGACATTTCTGCAATGGCGTAGTTCCATTTACCAGTTCAAAAACTAGACTAAATAATCTCAGTTTAAACATGCATTATGCAAGAGCTAAATCTGCCTACTGCAGGTCTTTCTTTAGGCCTTAAATGTTATCTAAATTATTAATCAGACATTAATTAACTTATCCAGAGCATAATCAAGTCTCGATGTCAACGCTAGCCTACAATATGTAGTGGGTTTGTGACGGATGATTTAACGTAAAAGGGCTAATCGAGACTTTGTTAATTATCGTACCAACAGTAGTAATGACGATCGTGCCTAGCCTAAAATTGAATCGCTAATATCTCGGTTCAGAGTGAAGCAATTTGACTGAAATTTTCAGCATATTCTGTTTTCAATATCTATGTTTAACTATTATAGCGATAACTGTCAGCTCTTTATATAACCTTACACAACGCCCTTTTAAGTTATGTAACTAAATTAAAATTGTTTGACCATCAATTTAGACATTTCCAGACCAAATATAATAATTATCTGATTTTATCAACGTAAATCCTGCGAAATCAAGAGGAACCCCGTAAAACAATTCTTTGACTTAACATGTTAGCCTAATAAATAGAGGTAAACCATACTTACACGATATTGATGTTGACCTATAAAGTAAAATTAAAATGAATATTACCCGACAAATCTGTATAAAAACCTGGCAAATATATCATTTTCTATGAAATATAAGATTTTATCAAATCCACCCCTACAATCTTTAGATCGGTCTTCATTTTGACAAATCTGCAAAGGTTAAAGAAAAAAAAAAATCCATTGGATCCTATGTAGGGAATATTGGATAAAAGTCCATAATTAATCGACTGGTAAAAGTTGTTTTAAAATAATGAGAATACTTACTGTTGCACTAAAATAAATCTAAAAGTTTACACTTACATACATTGATACCGTGTTCCAACCAGCACGCACTCACCACTACAGGTTATACACTGGGCCGCTGTCTCTAAAATATAAGTTTTAAATATAGAAGACTCTAAAGTCTAGTAACATGGCGAGATATATCTCCTTTTATTTGTAAGGCCAGGTCGTAACACAATATTCTTTTTTAATTCAACAAAAGATTATTATAAGCTGTATTTTATGTGATGAATTGAGATGAAATAAAATGGGGTTTAATGTCCTTCATTTATGCATTTCGACTCGAGGTCCCACTAAACAATCATAGCAAGTGGGTTTAAATGTCATCACGGACTTTATCCTAGATCGCAATAACACACTTTAATGACGAGTCCGGGAGAAAAGCATGCAAATGTTATGGTGCACTTAGAAGGATTTTTATAAAACTGGGTTTAATGGACACTTTTACACCACTATCCCAGGTGTTAAGTTGGCAGGCCTCAGAAGACATATTTTAGGCTATTTCCTCGCTCAGGTTTTGAGTTATTTTAACTGCTCGTTCTGCAGTAGGTTTAAATGTGGGAATGATTAATTTCGGACAGTTACAGTAGATACACTAGTGTAATATTAACACCTTCCAATGTTTGAACTCCCTCTTAAAACTTGTGATTTTTCAAAACGATGTATTCAGTGTTTCTCCAAATAAAGGTCCGTGAATTTTGAACTTATAGAGTCAGGGGATTTATGAACTAATATTGCCTTCTAGGACATAATCCCTAGATTATTTAAGTCAAATAAAACTGGAAGCCTCCGCTAGTTTTTGATATCGTAGATTTGAGTGAAAGAATTTTCGTTCAAATAGCGGGTTTCAGCGACGGCCAAATATACCGATGCGAATATCAGTACTTGCTCCCTATGCAACTAACAAACACAGAGATTTTATGAAAAGCTCAATGTCATTAAGCGGTCGGCCAAGAAAACTTCCTTGCGTGGCTGTTGAATACAGATTCTACTGTACATGTTTTCATTTCATCTTAGTGAAAATTGAGAAGTCATATATTTATGAAATTTAACGAATAGTCAAAGGTCAGAATGGGCCATTATATTGCACACGCGTCACTGAGGTAGGCTCAACATTTTACAGTGAACATGAAGGAAGAAATGTGAAAACCTAATTGTAACAATTATGCATCACAGGCCGGGGTCAGCAAAGGCTATGCAAACCCGGTGAGTTACGACTACCCGACGAGCACATGAGCCGTTTCGGTATTCGAAGTAAACTATTATTGAAGATTATTTGTCGAACAGAGAGAGAGAGAAATGGGGTTTAACGTCCACTCGACACAAACTAGGTCATGTCGGGACCAACATATGGTTTAATTTTATTTCAATAATTCGCTTCCGCGTAGGGGTCTTTAGCAGTGGGAGGAAACCGGAGGACCCGGAGAAAACCCACGAGGTTGGACAAGCAACCCTACTCCTTGTCACGTACAACCGTTGTCGAACAGAAAACAATCTGTCATCATTAGAGGCGGCAGTGCTATTCCGAATAACATAACCACAGGTGTTTCCTAAGGATCAATATATTGGGTCTACTTTTTTTTCCTTTTTTATATCAGTAATAGTACCGAAAACGTTATCTCTAATATATTTTTATTTACAGGCGATAGGCCTGGGTGTCCAAACTGTTGGTCGCGACCGCAGCTTGGGTCGCCAAACACTTTTCGTGGAGTCGTGGCGGACTACACTGAAACTTTTGAAAAAATGCTATGTTTTCATGAAAAGTATATAAATCTCTGATATACACATCTTGCCACATTGCCAGTCGTCTTTCCTCAATTTTTATAATGTGTAAAAATGTAAACCATAATTTGTCAAATAAATAAAACAATCATAAATGTAGCAATGATGATGTTTCATAGTAAAAGGTGACTTTGCTCTTCGAGGTGTCGGAATCAGATGCTGGTTTCTGGATTGGGGTCGCAGCTTTCTGGATACGCCATTAAATCTACCTATTGAAACTACGGGCGAATGTGAACTATAGATTTGAATTTTTTTCACTCGCTGCCCTAAGGTATTACGGCATTAAAACCCCCGATATACTTAAACCAAAAGCTGTTGTCAGTAAAAATGTTTTATTTTTTCATGCCGTACCCGAAAAAGCTTTTTTACTAGAGCGGTTTTAGCTATGAGGGAAATTTTGCCCGGACATCGACACTACGGCCTACTCTTATATCGAATTCCAACTGTCAAGGGATCTTTTAAGTGTACGCGGAACCTGGGTTTTTCGTCCCATCCGAACGACTAGACAGCTGTCCTCGTCAGGCCCTCCTTCCTGCATCACTGACAAGGGGAAACCACGTCGGAAAATCTGGATGAACCTTCTCGGCCAATGCTGGGATCGAACGTCCGACCTCCAGGCTAGCGAGCCAGCGTCTTACCCATTTAGCCACCGTGAACCCCCTTCTTTCTAAACATGAGTGGTTGAACACTATAGATAGCTGCAGAGGCTATACCTTTTAACGGATTTTTGTAAAATTGACGGGAAGCATCCGGGTCATGAGAAATTCAAAGCGCTGTGACTTTTCGTCCCGGAGTAATCACCCCGGTAGAGGCTACAATTTTAACGGACGTTTCCAAATATTCTGGGAAGCATATTAAGCGTTCTACGACCTTCCGTTCCAGAGTTATCCCTCTTTTCCCCAAAACCCTGTGAACGCGATAGAGACTATAGTTTTTAATTGATTTCTCAAAGGGATCAGCAGTGAATATTTGGAAGGACCAGTTTACGTTACTACGCCGTATATAAATAATGTACGACGCTGTGTGATGTGAAGTTACACGTAGAAAGAATTTGAACATATAATTTGGTATTTAATATAATTCATAGGCACAATATGCAAATGAAACAAACCATTTTTGTGGCTAACATCTGCAATTGTGGGGCTGAAAAATCGAAAATCAAATAGTGGTGAAATCTGAAATTTTACAAATGGGGTCAGTGGCTCATAGGGGTAAGGTAAACAAAGTTTACTTCCCAGCAGTGAAATCTTACAGAGGGTAATCGTTTAGCTAAATAACAGTAATGACAGTTAAAGTGACGCTTTACCTTCAGTAGAATTATCAGTTTTTTCACCATAAAAGACATGTATTGGAGCAAATATTTGTGTACAAACATTATCCAGTAGAAAACAATTGGTATTCTCTATAGTAACTAGTTTCTTAGCTACTGATTGACAAATACTTTCTTGTTTACAATCTTTTATAACAGGATCTGTTGATAGTGTTAGTTCATAGTCTACTATAATACTACCAGGTCTAAAAATATACAAACATTAATGTTGATAGTGTTAGTTCATAGTCTACTATAATACTACCAGGTCTACACATATACAAACATTAATGATGATAGTGGTAATTTATAATCTGGTGTGATACTACCAGATCATGATAGTGTTAATTTATAGTCTGCTATAATGCTACTAGATTACAATAATATTAATGTTGACAGTGTTAATCCATATTCTACTGTAGTACTACATTAATGCTGATAGTGTTAAAGATGCATTAGTTAAGATTTAGTTAGTTCAAAATCAGATAATGAAAAATGATTACATTTAAAATTTCAGTCAAATTACTTGTTTCTGAGCCACGTTACCAGGCTTTGAAGTCTTCACAATATAGTCAGGATTATCAAGTACAATGGTTACAGTTAGAAATATCGATTATCTTTTTCAATTAAATTATCAAATCGCGATCGTGTTTCTATTCATTAAAATCGCTACAATCCAATGATCTAGAGACTTGATTATGGGTTTGTCACGTGAAAAAAATGTCTAATTAATAATTTATATAACATTTGAGGCCAAAAGAAAGACCTACAATAGGCAGATTTAATTCTTACATAAGTCATGGAAATCTATTATTCTAAGAATGTATAAATATATATTTATATGCATATATAAATATATGTATATATATTCATTTATCTACCGTAAACAAAGAAGTATTTGTACTTTATATTATATATATATATATGATTTATCCTGTGACTTAATCGACAATTGTAGTCGAATTTAAAATCGAAACGAGTAAAAATAAAAAATGACATTTGTTACCAGAAAAAATTCAAAACGGGGATGCTGTCATATACCTTATATCTGTAACAGCTGTAGTCAATATACTTGAACTATTTATGAAACTCTTCATCTGGAAATATCAAAGATAATATTTACGTTGTTATAAGACAATATGTTCTAATATGAGTATATTTTATATTGATTAAATTTGGCTGGTTTTATATAAAAAGATATACTGTTTAGGTAGTTATACTACATTATATTTTCTATTGATTAAACTAGAAACGACCATATAACTTATTTCTTACACCTATCTCTAAACTTTTCTTTAATGACAAATATTCTGTAGATGTTTTATCACTATATTTAACATCATAGTCTTTCTGTAGTGATAACGTAACATATAAAACAGCACCTGTAAAAACAAAATTATTTAATAACCAGATTTATTAATATTATTGCTTCGAATATGGTCTGTGGTAAATATTGTTTCTACAATTGTAAATATAATGGCAAGTGTGACAGAAATGTTATCAAAACATTACAGACTTTCTTGCATCGAGGGGGGTTGGATGGCTGAATCGTTAGCGTGCACCCGCTGTATTATAAAGTCTGTCATTGAGTCGACTGGCGTGGTTTCGAATCCCCGGTTGTACGTGACAAGGAGTAGGGTCGCCTGTCCAACCTCCTTGGTTTTCTCCGGGTCCTCCGGTTTCCTCCCACTGCTAAAGACCCCTACGCGTAAGCGAATTATTGAAATAAAATTAAACCATATGTAAGTCCCGAAATGACCTAGTTTGTGTCGAGTGGACGTTAAACACCATTTCTCTCTCTTTCTTCTTGCATCGATCACAGACTAGATACAAAACATTCAAGTATTGAAAAACTTACCAGAACTGACAGTCGTATCGCTAACATAAGTTATAGTTGTTTCATCTTTCCTAGACGGTATGTCTGTTGTTACATCTATCGTTGATGGTGGGTCAGTTGTTATATCTGGCGTAGCTGATATATATGTTGTTATATCTGGCGTAGATGGTATATACGTTGTTACATCGGTGCTAGTTGGTATGGTTGTTATTACATCTATCGTAGATAGTACGTCTGCTACATTTGTATTACGCGGTATGTCCGATGTTTCACTTGCCGTAGCTGGTATATCAGTAGTTACATCTGTTGTGGATGATATTTCTGTTATTGCGCTCGCCATAGATGGTAAGCCTGGTATTACTTCTGTTGTGGAGGGTATACCTGTTGTTACATATGTCGGAAATGTTATTTCTGTTATTACATCTATGGTAGATGATATGTGTATGTCCGTTGTTACATATGCAGTAGGCGGTACTTCAGTTATATTTTTCACAGATGGTATATGTGTTAATACATCTGTGGTGGATGGTATATTTGTTAATACATCTGTGGTAGATGATGTATTTGTTAATACATCTGTAGTAGATGGTGTATCTGTTACTACATCTATCGTGGATATTACATCTGTCGAAGGTATGTGTGTTGTTACATATGTCGTAGATGGAATGTCTGTTATTACATCCGTGGTAGATGGCATATGTGTTTTTAGATCGGTGGTAGATGGTATGCCTTCTATACCTGATATTACTTCTGTCGTAGATGGTATGTCTGTTACATCTGTAGTAGCAGCTATGCGTGTTTTAAAATCTGCAGTAGTAATAGGTATGTCGGTTGTTACACTTGTTGTGGATGATATTTCTGTTATTACCCCTGATGATATTTGTGTTGTTACATCTAATTCTTTCGAAGATGTTATACTTGTTGTTACACTTGTGGTAGATGGTACGTGTTTTGTTACATATCTGGTAGATGGTATATCTGTTGTTTCCACTATCGAATATGGTATATCTGAGGTCAATGGCATATCCGTTGTTATATCTGAGGTAGATTGTTTGAGTGTTTTTGCATCTGGCGTAGATGGTATATCTGTTATTACACCTATCGTAGATGGGGTGTTTGTTACATCTGTAGTAGGAGGTGTGTCCGCTGTTACACCTGTAGTAGGGGGTATGTCTGTTGTAAAATCTGTCGTAAATGGAACGTCTGTTACGTCTGTAATAGGACGTGTGTCAGCTGTTACACCGGTAGTAGGGGGTGTGTCTGTTGTTACTTTGGTCGTAGATGGTATGTCTGTTATTACCTCTATCGTAGATGGTATATATTTTGATACCTCTGTCGAAGACGGTATATCAGTTAATACATCTGTTAGAGATGATATGTGTCTTATTACATTTGTTGTAGATGACATGTCCGTAGATGCAATATCTGTCATTACATCTGTGGTAGATGTTTTATCTGTAATTACATCTGTTGTAGATGGTATGTCTGCTATTACATCTATCGTTGATGGAACATCTGTAGAAAGAGATGTATCCGTTGTTACATCTTTCGTAGATGGTATATTTGTTCTTAAATTTCTGGTAGATCGTGTGTGTGTTGTTACATCTGTGGTAGATGGCTTATCTGTTATTATATCTGTCGTTGATGGTATATCTGTTATTACATCTATCGCAATTGGAACGTATGTTATATCTGTAGTAGGGGGTATATCTGTTGTTACACGTGTGGTAGTAGGTATGTCCGTTGTTACACCTGTCGTGAATGGTATGTCTTTTATTACATATATCGTAGATGCCCGATTTGTAGTAGTGGGAGTGTCCGTTGTTACACTTGTAGTAGGGGGTATGTATGTTATTACATCTGTCCTAGTTGCAACATCTGTGGTAGATGGTATATCTGTTATTATTTGTGTGGTAGATGACATATCTGTTGTTACATATTTGGTATATGGCATATCTGTTATAACATCTGTGGTAGATGGCATGTTTGTTGTTACATCTGTCGTAAATGTTATGTTTGGTATTACAACTATCGTAGATGGGATGTTTGTTACATCTGTAGTAGGAGAATTGCCAGCTGTTACAGCTGTAGTAGGGGATGTGTCTGTTATAACATCTTTCGTAATTGGAACATCTGTAGTAATATGTATGTCGGTTCTTACATCTGTAGCAGTAGGTATGTCGGTTGTTAACCCTGAAGTAGGGGATATGTCCGTTATGACATCTGTTCTGGGCAATATTTCTGTTATTGCATCTGCCGTAGATGGCATATCTGTTATTACATCTGTTCTAGATGGTATGTCAACATCCGTTACATTTGCTGTTGTAGATATGTCCGTCTTTAATTCTTTCGAAGATGGTATATTTGTTGTTATACTTGTGGTAGATGGTATCGTAGATGGTATATCTGTGGTCGATGCCATATCTGTTGTTACATCTGAGGTAGATTGTTTATGTGATTTTACATCTGGTGTAGATGGTATATCTGTTATTACATCTATCGTAGATGGGGCGTTTGTTACATCTGTAGTAGGAGGTGTGTCATCTGTTATACCTGTAGTAGGGGCTATGTCTGTCATTAAATCAGTCGTAGTTTGAACATTTGTAGTAGTAGGTATGTCAGTTATTACACCTGTGGTAGTAGGTATGCCTTGTATACCTGATATTACTTCTGTCGTAGATGGTGTGTCTGTTACATCTGTAGTAGCAGCTATGCGTGTTTTAAAATCTGCAGTAGTAATAGGTATGTCGGTTGTTACACTTGTTGTGGATGATATTTCTGTTATTAAACCTGATGATATTTGTGTTGTTACATCTGTTGTAGATGATATATCTGTTATTACATCTGTCATGGGTGGCATATCTGTTATTACATCTATCGTAAATGGAACGTCTGTTATATCTGTAATTGGGGGTATGTATGTTGTTACACGTGAAGTAGAAGGTGTACCCGTTGTTACATATGTCGTAAATGGTATATCTGTTATTACATCTGTGGTAAACGGGGGGTTTGCTCCATTAATAGTAGGGGGTGTGTCCGTTGTTACACCTGTAGTAGAAGGTATGTGTGTTATTGTATCTGGCGTAGCTGTAACATCTGCTGTAGATGGTATATCTGTCATTATAGCTGAGGTTGATGGTATATCTGTTATTACATCTGGGGTAGATGGTATGTGTGTTATTGAATTTGTGGTAGATGGCACGTCGATTGCTAAACCTGTTGTAGGGGGTATATCCGTTGTTGGACCTGTTGTGGGTGATATGTCTGTTAATACATCTGTGGTGAATACTATGTTTGTTGGTCCATGTGTGGTAGGTGGCATATATGTTATTACATCAGTGGAAGATGGTATATATGTTGTTGCACCTGCCGTAGACAGTATATCTGTTATTACATCTGCTATAGATGGTATGTCTGTTATTACATCTATCGTAGATGGAACATTTGTTATATCTGTAGTAGGAGACATGTCGGTTGTTACATCTTTCTTAGATGGTATATTTGTTGTTACATTTGTGGTAGATGGTATGTGAGTTGTTACATCTGTGGTAGACGATATCTCTGTTATTTTATCTGTGGTAGATTGTTTGTGTGTTATTACATCTCTGGTAGATGGTATATCTTTTATTACATCTGGGGTAGATGGTGTATCTGTTATTACATCTGTGGTATATCCCATATCAGTAGCCACATATGAGGTAGATGCTATATTTGTTATTATATGTGTGGTAGATGGTTTATCTGGTGTTGCTTCTGTCGAAGATGATATGTCTGTTGCTACATCTGTCGTAGGTGGTATGTCTGTTGTTACATTTGCCGTAGATGTTCTGTATGTTGTTTCATCAAGCGTAAATGGTATGCCTGTTATTACATCTATACTAGATCGGACGTTTGTTACATCTGTAGTGTGTGTGTCAGCCATTACATCTGTAGTATTGAGTATGTCTGTGGCAGTAGGTATGCCGTTTGTTAAACCTGAAGTTGGGCGTATGTTCCTTGTTGTTACATCTGTTTTGGGTGACATTTCTGTTATTACATCTGACGTAGGATCTGTCATTACATCTGCTGTAGATGGTATATCTGTTATTACATCTGTTCTAGATGGTATGTCAACATCTGTTACATTTGTTGTTGAAGATATGTCTGTTTTTACACCTTTCGAATATGGCATATTTGTCGTTAGACTTGGGGTAGATGTTTTATCTGTTATTACCTCTATCGTAGAAGATATTTTTGTTATTACATCAGGGTTCGATGCCATATCTGTTGTTACATCTGTGGTAGATTGTTTGCGTGGTGTTACATCTGGCGTAGATGGTATGCCTGTTATTACATGCATCGTAGATGGGGCGTTTGTTACACCTGTAGTAGTAGGCGTGTCTGTTATATCTGTAGTTGGGGTTATGTCTGTTGTTACACCTGAAGTAGACGGTATATCTATTATTACACCTGTTGTAGATGGTATATCTGTTATTACACCTGGAGTAGCGGGTATATCTGTTATTACACCCGTGGTAGATGGTTTGGGTGTTGTTACGTCTGCCGTAGTTGAAACATCTGTAGTAATAGGTATGTAGGTTGGTGATACATTTATGGTAGGTACATGTATCGTAGGTGCAATTGTAACAGTTGTAGGTGGCAATATTGTTGTTACATCTGTGACAGAAGTAGGCGTATACTTAGTTGTTACATCTATCGTGGATGATTCTGTTCCACTATTTGCTGAAAAACATGTTATTATATAACCTGTAAGAATTGGAAACATACTGCTATTCATATTGGTTTTTATTACCTAAGCAAATATATTTCATATTCTAATGAAATGTATTATTTGTTAATCTAATAAATGATCAACTATGTAAAACTGGGTAGGTATGCTGAACAAGTTTACTGAGATCTCTTAACCAACAACAATAACAACTTAACTAGAACTGCGATGCAGTAATGACGGGTTTCACCGGTGCCACGTTACTTTAAACATATGTCACTACCGGTATCAATGAAACCATTAAACAGGTTTCCACATAAGCACTGCACACATCAAATAAAATGGACGCCGAAGCAACCAAATCCAGCAATATAAATTCATTTTATACATTTGTTACATGTAAGTGTACAGTAGTTCCGGTGATAATGAAAATGTTCAATTAGTTTTATGAAATCAGAAATGGCATAAGGCACCACATGGTGAAACTTTTATGTAAATCGAATAATAATTGCCATTTTTATAGACCCAAAACCTTGAAAAGTGACTTGTAGAAAACCGTTTATTTCTCTGCAACCGTACAAGGTAGAAACCATTTTCTGGTATCTGTATGATCAAATATCATAATTTTAAAATTTTAAAAACATTACAAATCAGGCTCATTTGATTAAAATATCTGTTTTGAAGGCTAAAAATACAGTTTTTGCCAAAATGACGTTACTTCCGGTGATAATGAAAATCTTAAATTACTTGTATGAAATCGTAAATGGCATTAGGTATCACACAGTGAAAATTTTATGAAAATCGAATAATAATTGACACTTTAATGGACCAAAAACCTTCAAAAGTGTCTTGTAGAAAACCGTCTATTTCTCGGTAACCGAAAAAGTTAGGAACAATTTTATGTTATCTACATGACCGTATGAATTTTATTAATATATGAATTTAAACCAAAAGTTAAAATTATTAATACATATTAAATAATTTTTAGATGGAAAAATATCGATTTTAAAAGTTAAAAATGCATTTTTTGACAAAATGGCGTCACTTCCGGTGTCAATTTTAAATTGTAATTAATTTGATACGATGCATACTTCCTTTTTGAATCAAATGGTGTCATTTTTGTTAATATCTAATAATAATTGACTATTTTACAGGCAAAATAACGAAAACAGTGACTTATGAAAAATTGTCCATTTCTAGGTAACTGCTTATATTACAAACTAATTTTAACATACATTTTCTTCGTATGAATTATAGCTACAAGTTTATAAAAGTTACGTAGAAATATTTTAAAATCCGAAAAGCCTGAATGGGTTGTAAATAGGTCAATTTTACACCTTTTTTCACATCTTAATCGAATTTGCTCGAAAATGAACTCGAAATTAAAAAAACTGAGCTCACACTTCTTTGCGCCTTTAAAGGGCACACTCTTTTAGTTATATCAGTTTTTTTAAAAAAAAAAAAAATAATATTTGCTTTCGAAAAATGGCACTTAACTGTCAAAATGGCACTTAACTGCCACTTCCGGTGCCGACAGATAACTCTATCGGTAACAAAAAAAAATGACAATTGAGACAACGGAGCATATGAACTTTGTTTTATACAAATCGAACAATAATTAATCTAGGACTGAAAAACTGAATTAGCCAATGGCGGCCAAGGAAAATTACTGAGACAGAAAAATTCACATTTTTGCTCAAGTCAGATGACTCGTTAATTTTGTGTAAAACACGACTAATATATATTTATAAATAAAAAAGTTTTTTGTAAAAATTTAAATTTTCTAAATTTGGCGCCTAATATCTGGGAAGATTTGTCGAAAATTAAAAATCAAAAGTAACGTAGATATGTGCCCTGTCTCCGGCTATGCCAAAATGTATCGAAAGTTAAAATCCAACAAGAAGAGTCATCTTTGAGTTTGAATAACAACAACTTAATTAAGAAGAGTGATCTTTGAGTTTTAATAACATGGCAAAGTCTACTTATCAAAACACTGGAGTAAATATACCAGCTACATTGATCAGTAATTAAATGCTTGTGAAGCAGAAATCACTGGATGACTGTTAGTTGACTGATGTTTTGCTAAATATCCAACTCTAGTTCGACTAAGTAAATCATAATTTAATGGTAAACATTCATTAGAAAATATCTTTCATTGGCTTTATATTGTCCTAGAAAACACTTACCCCCCCCCCCCATTAAATTGTGTATATATAAAACGTTGTTTTATGTTGATTTTGTGCATGAAATGGTGACATAAGAATGTAGAAACAAGAATCATTAGGTTAAAATATTGCTTTCGTATATAATATATTCAAACAGGAAACACAAATCATTAATATTGTTTCATTTCGGTATTTGGTCTTCTGTACGAGGGCTGGCTGAAAAGTTTTCAGACTATCTCTGAAAGACCTGTAGAAAGTCGATGGTTTTCATTTATTTTTCTGTATAGTCCTCTTCGGTCAAGAGTAATATTTTCTTCAGACATCATAAGAAAAAATGATAATGATGACCGGCTAGTTCTTTTTTTTACCCCTGCTTTGGCCGAGAAAGTCCATCGGGATTTTCTGACGTGGTTTCCCCTCGTCAGTTCGATCCCGGTGTTGGTCAAGAATTTCCCCATTGTTAGTGGTGTTGGACAGAGGACCTGGCAAGAACAGTGTCTAGTCCTTCAAATAGGACAAAAAATCAAGATTTTGTGCTCATGTTGTATGTGCATGTTAAAGAAACCTTGACAGCTGGAATTCGAAATGAGAGTAGGTCAGTCATTCATTCATTCCTTTTTCTCTTTGTGTGTCGTTTACAGGCCGCAATTCTTAAAGGAGTTGAATCGTTCAACCCCTGCACTGGCCGAGAATGTGATGCAGGACGGAGAGAGAGAGAGAGAGAGAGAGAGAGAGAAATAGGGTTTAACGTCCTCTCGACACAAACTAGGTCATTTCGGGACTAACATATGGTTTAATTTTATTTTAATAATTCGCTTGCGCATAGGGGTCTTTAGCAGTGGGAGGAAACCGGAGGACCCGGAGAAAACCCACGAGGTTGGACAGGCGACTCTACTCCTTGTCATTGTCACGCACACACCGGGGATTCGAACCCACGCTACTTGACTCAATGGCAGGCCGTATGATACAGCACGCACGTGCTAACCATTCGGCCATCCAACCCCCGATGCAGGACGGAGGGCCTGATAAGGACAGCTGTCTAGTCGTTCGGGTATGACGAAAAACCAAGGTCCCGTGTAAACATTGGCCTGCACGTAAAATATCCCTTGACAGTTGGAATTCGATATAAGAGTAGGCCATAGTGCAACTGTCCGGACAAAATTTCACTCACCGTATACCCGTCTTCATTAGCCCAGTTCGGCGCAGAACAGTAGGACGTTAAAACCCATTTCATTTCATTGCATTTAGTTCCTTTTTCATTTTCGGAAACGGGTCTCATCCATTACAAATCTGGAAGAATCATTATCAGGATCTACTTCAAAACGGCGCAGATTGTCACAAAACGTCTGGTATCTGACACGTTTCTGATCCGCAGTCAAGAGCTTTGGCACCCATCTTGCAGTTACCGTTTGTCATTCGTTGGCAATAATGTGCTCAACCTTTTTAAGAGAGGTGCCCACAGCACTGGCAATATGTGGAGTGGTTAATCGTCGATCTGCCATCACCATGTCATGCACCTGGTTGATGTTGATGGCCTTCCAGGACGCGGGTCACGGTCAAGACTCTCTCTCTGCCATAGATAAATTCCGCAACCAACTTATTTACTGTGGGAAAGGAAGGGGCATCATACCCTAAAGTGGAGACCGGTTTATACCTGTGTTGGGGCTACACCATTCAGTTGCAGGTACTTGATGACTGCCCTATAGCCAGTTTTGTCCATTTCTGGTGATTTCGATGGGTAGGTTCACAAGATGGTCTGGTACGACGACAATAATAACAATACAGTTGCAGTTCTTATGTCTATGATTCATTCACTGACTGTACTTGTTGGCGGTAAAAGTTTATTTCAACTCAATTGATCTCTCTGCCTTAGAACTTTTCAGCCAGCCCCCGTATATATGTATAAAAATTAGAACGTGGCCCTAAACGATAAAATTACTATTTTTCATAAATAACCGTATTTGATGAATAAAGTTCCCTTAACGGCAATCACCTCTGGTATTATTAATATATTCCAAATTTATTTCTGGCCAGAATTTTGAAAAAATGCATATTCTGTATGTTACCATGTAAATTATAACAGTCAGTTTCTGACCTGAATTCATTCATCAGCTGGGATTTCTCTTTCAACAGAAAATCACGGCTAGAACGTCAGTATTATATAATACACTTATATAATACAAATTGCATTGATGCATGTCCAATGAATTGAGTCATTACCTACAAACGGTTAACAGCTAGATTTGGGTTAATGTTGAGAGAGAGGGAGAGAGAGAGAGGGGGGGGGGGGGGTTAACGTGCACTATACAGAAACTAGGTTATTTTAATGCATTCCGACTCGGGACCCCACTAAACAATCTTAGCAAGTGGGTTTAAATACGGTCACGGACTTTATCCTAGATCGCAATAACACACTTTAATGACGAGTCGGGGAGAAAAATATGCAAATGTTATGGTGCACGAGAAGGATTTTTATAAAACTGGGTTTAATGGACACTTTTACACCACTAACCCAAGTGTTAAGTTGGCAGGCCTCAGAAGACATATTTTATTTCCTAGTTCAGTTTTGGGTTATTTAACTGCTCGTTCTGTAATAGGTTTAAATTTCGGGATGATTAATTTCG